TATATTTACCTAAGAGTAAGTCCTAGTCAACTCGGGGATGTGATTGTGAGTAGATTCTGTAGGACTGCACTGCTCAACTAAGGAGACAAACACCCAAATCTTTACTTAGCCATCAACCTCATAAGATGTCCTATGACTGAAAAGTTGTCTCTTAGGGTTGTTGTGGGAATAAATTGATTTTTTGGTTAATTAGTCAGTAATTTGGGGATGAAGGGAGATACTTGGAGGGCAATGAAAGATCAGAGAAGCTGGCAAAAGAGAGGTTTTCTTTCAAAAGTTAAAAAAAGTGCTTTAATGAAAATAATGGAGTGACGGGTCATTTTGACATGTATGTCCAGGAAATTAGCATAAAATTTGTAAGGCTTATTCAATGTATTTATGCGTTACAAAACACAAAGCAGTAGTTCTTGTCCCATCCCTGCATACTTTCAGTAAACATTCTCTCAGGATTTCTGAGACCAGGATCCTGACAGACGGCTTCAAAGGAGAAATCAGCTCTGGATCTGGGGCAATTTGAACATTTGGTGCATAGCTTGAGTGTTGTTCTAGACCCAGTGCTATCAATGGCATCACAGGTAGTGTCTGTGGTCTGTTCCACCTATTTCCACCTAAAATAGATCACCCAGCTGCGCCCCTAACTTGACACTGGGTCCCTCACCACACTGTTTAATGTGCTGGTAGTCTCAAGATTAGACTACTGCAGTGCCCTCTACGTGGGGCTGCCCTTGGGACTGGTACGGAGATTTCAACAGGTCCAGCACGCAGCAACCAGACTGATAAGTGGGGTTAGAACATAACAACATATTTCCTCCACTCTAGTGGCCTTACATTGGTCACCTGTTCACTTTCATTCCAGCTTCAAGGTGATGGAACGGAACTTCCATCACCTTATAAGGCCCTAAACGGTTTGGGACCTCGATATTTGGCTAAGCGCCTCTTTCCAGTTAGGTCTGCCCGTCCAATAAGATTGTCACAGGCAGGGCGCTTGAGACTTCTGACCCCAAGAGAGGCTTGGGAAACAACCACCAGAAATCGGGCCTTTTTGGTGGTTGCCCCACAATTGTGGAATACCCTCCCACTCGAAGTTCACCTGGCTTCCTCACTAGGCACCTTAAAAAAGTTATTAAAGACCTGGATGTTCAGACAGGTTTTCCTGGAGTAAACAATTACTGATGCAATAGTATCTCCAATAATGCACTAATTATGTGCCACCATACTTTATGCTATTAATTATACTAAATGTATGTATTGTGTTTTTCACATCCTGAAAGTTTTCAGATCCTGAAGCTCAGGCTCCAATACTTTGGCCATCTCATGAGAAGAGAAGAGTCCCTGGAAAAGACCCTGATGTTGGGAAAGTGTGAGGGCAAGAGGCGAAGGGGACGACAGAGGACGAGATGGTTGGACAGGGTCATTGAAGCGACCAGCATGAATTTGACCCAACTCCGGGAGGTAATGGAAGACAGGAGGGCCTGGTGTGCTCTGGTCCATGGGGTCACGAAGAGTTGGACACGACTTAACGACTAAACAACGTTGTGTCTTTCACTTTGTCCTTCACTTTATTTATGATTTTAATTTGCAGTTTAATTCTGTTGTATTATTGTTATTTTATGGTTTTCTTATTGTTGTAAACTGTCCAGTGAGGCCTTACGGTAGGCCCTCCCAGTGTAGTCCTTCTGTTGTCATGCAAAGATATTTCTCCAGAAACATTTGGCAACATTATGGGTTGCAGAGAGAGCTTCCAAAGGGGAATAATGTACTTGGTGTTCTGTTATTATTAATACTATGTTTAATCACATTTGAACTTTTAACACTTTTAAATGTGGTTTTTATAAGCAGCCTTGGGAGGAAGGTGGATTATAAATAAGACCTGGATTAGAATCCATAAAACATCACACTAAAGTAAATCTGTTAGTAGTGTTAAAGTTGTCAGAAGACTTGTTTTGTTATACATGCTGAAGAAATGAAGATAGCTTGTAACCAGGGTGAATTTTTCTGTTTATTGTGTTGAAGAAGTACAGTTCCTTGTGCTTCTGATGAAGGGACATCTGGTGCAGGATGGGCCAAAAACCAGCTCCTGCTCGCATCTTTCAGTGGCCCAGCAAAGATATCAGCCCACTGTCTTTTTTATTGTGTAGAAAGATTGTCGAGATCTCTCTTTGTTGTGCATTTCTAGTAGCTCAGCCAAATTGTACCAAAACGTTTAATTCTAAAATTGTCCAAGGGAAGGGAAATAATCATTTCACCATCTCCCTCCGGGAACGTTTGATGCAGCCCCTTGAAGGTAAAGCAAAGGTTTCTTGGGCAGCTCGAAAACAACAACAACAAAATAATGTTTTTATAGACCCGATCATTGGTGGACGCGGTGGCCACGAAAAGGCTCGTGTCAAATGTAAACGGGGCGGCCTTTAGGGTGCCCGCTTGTTGTTTCTGCTTCAACCCTGAGGTCTGTGGAAACGTCCGCCCTCCGGTCTCCCTCCCCCTCCCTCCGGAGCCTCCGCCCAGGGAGGGAGAACCAGGGGCCCGGCCGGCGGGGGTCCCCGGGAGCGAGGAGGCCAACCAAGCCAGCCTGCTCCTGAAGGCCGCTGGGGGGCGCTCCTCTCTCCGGCGCCTTTGGCGTCTGACGACAGGGCGGGCGGGCGAGCGGCCATTTTCTCGTCCCCTCAGCCGCCTTCCGCCACCTGCCCGAGCAGCCGCGTCGCCAGGGAGGGAGCGAAGGCAGGCAGGCAGGCA